GGGGGGGTGCAAATAGAGGGGGTGTTTGTGATGGAAATGGGAGTCCAGGGATGGGATTTGGGGAGGTGTGGAAAAACGGTAGGTAAAGAAAACACCGCGATTCCCTTTGTGGATAGAATGGGAGTGGGCGGGGGAGGGGGCAGAATAACACACCGCCCTTTCGGTATTGGCTCGGCTATAAGTTGCCAAGGTTCGGAGATAATGTTTACATCGCATACTGTCCTGTTACAGTGCATTCATTCTTTACACCTCATGGTTTACAGTAAGTATATAGTATATGGCTGCCCACTCGCTTAGAGATGAGAAGTACTTTCAGCCCCGTTCGCCTTTTCTTTATGATCGTCACCATCAGGCACACTGCGACGAGCATCTTCTGCCCTCCAGGCGCTGTGCCAGACGTCTTCCACCTGCAAATGCTGGTCAGTAGTTATGCATACCATCAACCCCGAAACGGACCTGATAGTGATACAGCCAACGATTCCCATCACTCCACTCGTCTTCCATAATCTGGTTGGCAGCGTCGTCGAAGCTGGTGATCTTCTTGCGCGACACACTCGACCGAGCGAACCCGTCCAGGATATCGTACTATTCCCGGTTAGGTTATCAAGTAAAAGGGAAGGGGTAGTCTGCAGCGCCAATTCATCTCACCATCGCATGATAATGCGGCGTTCGGACCTGATCAAACAGGTCCAGCCCTTCACTTAGATGATGGCCGCGGTCGTGCGCCCACCGTATCGCACGGCTGAGCACGTAGGCGTCCTCAAAGGCGCAGCCAGCTCCTGTTCCTGTGACGGTCAGCTTCACACCACCAGATCTGAAAAATCAATGCTCAACCCATACCAAATTCACCAGCTAAGGCTAATTGTTTATACTGTCAGTACAAGTCACCATGTTGTGCTACTAACCTACGATGCGACGCGTCCCCGACCAACGCGATCGACCCATGCGAAACCACCCGGGGCAACCGCGGTCCATTGAAGAGCGCATGCTTCTTCACCACCCTGATCTTGGCGATCGCCCGTTGGAGCATCGGGGAGAAGTTCTGATCGCCAATCAGGCCGAATCAGCTCTAGATGAACGATGACCGCACAAGCCACGGTCTCACCCACCTTGAACCGCTCGCCAAAGTCCTCCACCGAAGCATCCTGCCCCCAGCTAACCGGCGCAGCATCCTCCGTGAGTCGCACTCGCGCCGCGATCTCGTACACATTGCTCCGGAGATTGCACGTGTAGAGCCGGTTGTGCGGACCGTGCCAGAAGGTGTTCGCATCAGGGAAGCCGGGGATGCTAAGGATGTCGCTCGCGTCCGCGAGGGCCCGGTAGGCGGTGGTACCCGTGTACCTTAGCCGGTAGTCCGGGTATGCGAATTGGCGGACGGTCTACATATGAGCCTTGCTGATGACTAAAGTATTCGTGGAAAAAGGGGGATGCTCACCGATCGAATCCCGTCCGCGCCGACCAGAAGGTCCACCTCGTCCTCATGGCCATCTTCAAACCGCAGAGTCAGTGCCCCGGTAGACATCTCGACGATCTCGATCAACCGACTCGACAATCTCAGTCGCGACCGATCGACACTCCGCAGAAGCGCCTTCTGCAGCACCGTGCGCAGGGTTCTTGCTTGGTGGTACCGGGCGGGCGTTTCTACCAACCTTCAGCCCAAACCCAATCTATTTACGATAGATGGAACTCACCCTCCTGCCCGGTGGAAAGCAACAACTCTCCCGTCCTCCCATTCCTACCCTCCACGCATCAGCTATTACCCCCGCCTAACCCCGCACCCTTCAAAGTCCAATCAGATACAAACTCACCGATGCTGCACCAAATGCCCGTCCGCGGGCCGAAACAGATCCCTCTCGTCGAAATTCTCATACACCCCCAGCGCATCCAGCATCCGCCAGGTGTTGTGGTGGAGGCTGATGCCCGCCCCCATCTCGCGGAGCTCCCGCGCCTGCTCGTAGATCCGAGCCTCCACGAACGACAACTTGGCGAACTCAATTGCGGCGGCGAGGCCCGCGGGACCGGCGCCGATGATGGCGAGCCGTAGCTTGGGAGGGGCTTGGGTGGGCATTGTTGCTGTCGGTTGGTGTGTTTGATTCAGGTTAAGGTTTGGGAGGGGAGAAAAGGTTTCAGGGGGAAATCCAGTGATGGGGCTTCTTCGGGTTATTATATCAGGCTTGGTGGGACAAGCGTTGGAGGGTTGTCACTCGGATGATGGGTTGATGGGTTTGGGGGGCATGTGATGGGCTACAAGGGGTGAGCTGGTTGTTGGTTGATCATACGGTGTTGTAGGACTGGGGGGTGGTATCTGGCTGGGTTTTATGTGGGTTGGCTATGGTTGGAAGTGGTGTTCTGCCTGCGGAGGAGGCAGTATATAGCCCTGTGTCTACCTCCTGCCTGCGAGTGCTAATGTCCCGAGACCACGGACTTCCCCTGGTAGCTGAGTGTGGGTGTGGATTGTTCATACATCATCTAGCTCATATACAACTCGGCAACAGCGAGAATCATTTCTGAGTCTGAGCCAGAGGAACCAACAAGAACCCACCTACTATCCACATCCATCGAATACTTATCTCTTCAACTCCTCCAACCCCATCCCCGCCGTCCCCATCCGATCCTAAACAGTCAGCCTGCCCCCGCCCCAAAGAATGCCAAAGGAAAAAAGAAACTCACCAAAACCCAAGTCGGCATCCACGTCGTCAAAAACCACCCAACGGACGCCATCTTCCCGCGCCACACCAACCCGGACTTCCCACCCAGCAAATCCTCCACCACCCTGCGCGCATACTCCTCCGGCGCCATGGGATCCTTGACCGACTCCCCCGCCGCCATCCTGCGCACCCCGTCTGTAGCCGGCTCATACATCGACCCCGGAAACTGCAGGTCTGGATGCTTATCAAAGATCTGCGTGCGCACCACGCCGGACATGACCGTGACGACCCGGACCCCGAACGGCGCCAGCTCCAACCGGAGCGTCTCGCCGTAGGATTTCAGAGCAGCTTTAGAGGCGGCATAGAACGCTGCCCAGCCACACAACCCAACATATTAGCTCACACCCGATAGTTACCTAACCCCAACCCTTACCCCCATTCTCCACCCCCCCGCGGGTCAGAAACTCACCATTCCAAACAACAGGCATATTCCCCCCCAGACTCGCGATATTGGCCACACACCCCCTGGCGGCAACCACCATCCCGCTGAACGCCTGGGTCACGCGCACCGCGCCCCAGAAGTTGACGTCGAAGAGCGCCTGCGCCTCGGCCAGCGACGTCTCCAGCGCGGGCCGCACCAGCGGCAAGCCCGAGTTGTTGACCAGGTAGTCGAGCTTTCCCGACGTGTGGGCGCGCACGGCGGCGACCGCCCGCGCGATCTGCGCGGCGCAGGTCACGTCCAGCTCCAGGAGGGTCACGTGGGGCAGGTCGGCGAGGTGGGCCATCTTGGGGAGCGAGCGCGCCGTGGCGAAGACGTGGAACCCCCGCGCGTGAAAGGCTTGGGCCAGCGCGGAGCCGATGCCTTGCGCGCTGCAGCCGGTTATGAGGGCTGTTGGGCGCGGTTCTTCTTGGTCTTGGGTTGGGGGCGTCATTTCGGTTGGAGGAAGGGGGGAGTTGGAGTTGGAGATAAGGGTCGGGGGGTGGGTTTGGTAGGGGGGTTTTAATTGTGATGTGGTGGGAGTGGGAGATGGCTGGGTTAACATGCTTATGCTGATGGGTTGGTCGGAGTTGAGGTGGATGTAAGGATCGCGGGTGGTTGACACGAGGCGGCAAGGGTTGGGGCGCTAGTGTTGGGTCTGTAGGGGCTAGATGGAGGGATTGCGGTGCGGTGGTTGGCTATTTCGTGAATTAGGTTACAGTGTTAGTCTCATCTACTGAGTACTTACATGAGGTTCTGTTGGAACTGTCAGCCGTATGAACGGCTGGGGATTGATGGCGCCGGCGGTTCGCTATGGCTGCTGTCTGCAGCCTGGATGGAGTCACAAGAGTGATACTGTGGACGTACGCATTCTGTAGTACTCATCAAGGCAATAGCTTGCACCCTGTGGGTCTGTCCAGCGTGTTCGATAAGATAACAAAGCCATTGGTGGCGCTGGTTAGTGTGGCGGTGTAGGCGGTAATGTAATGTCTGTTACACCATGACATCATACCCCAGTGGCAAGGCCATCACGGTGAATTCCCGATGGAAACAAGTTACACAAGGCATGAGTTAGGCATGAGACACTACATACCAAAGTCATTTCAAAAATTTAAAAAAAAAAATGCAGAAAGTGTATGAACTATGCAAATCTAATGTACATGGCCAAGCCTGGTATATCATGCGAGCAAATGCACACCACCACATATGTACTGTATGTGAAACAAAAAACATCATGAACACATCCAAATCAAACTCCAATCCCCTGGGGTATAACTTTTCGTCGGTTTCCCACGCTGCCAACTTCTTAAGCATTCTCCGCGTGGTAGGAGCGGGACTCCTTGCGGTGACGCTCCTCCTCCTGGAAGTACTCGGCCGAGTGGAGAGTCGGCATCTCGAAGCTGCTGCTCTTCCAGGGCTTGACCTTGTTGACGTACATCCAGTCCAGCTCCTCCAGGGTGCGGCCCTTGCCCTCGATGACAAAGAAGTAGATCACGAAGACAGCGACCAGCAGACAGCCCGCGAAGACGTAGCCGTAGGCGAAGTCGATGGCACCGGTGATGAAGGGAGTGAAGAAACCGATCAGGAAGTTCCAAAGCCAGTTGGAGGCGGTGGCCAGCGCCATACCCTGGGCACGGTACTTGCCGGGGTAGAGCTCGGCAACGATGGCCCAGACCATGGGTCCCCAGGTCATAGCGTACGCTGGGAGAATAATTAGCATGATGACAACGTAGCCAAGGAAATGTCATCCGGGACTTACCAGCAATGAAGAAGCACGTCACAACAATCATCCCCTTGCCAACATCGGGGGTGTTCTCGGGGTTTTGCACATCAAGCATGAAGTGGCCAATGGAAGCGAAGATCATGAAGCACACGAACATGAATCCAGCACCCACCATCAGAGACTTGCGGCGACCGAAGTTCTCAACAATGTACAAGCCACCAAAGGTGGTTCCGAAGTTGACGGCGCCGAGAATCACCTGGGTGATGAAGCTGTCGGAGATACCAGCACCCTTGAAGATAGTAGTACCCTGTGGAATGTTAGCAAGACGGCCCGTATGAGAAAGATCAAGATGAACTTACATAGTAGAAGAAGTAGTTGGCACCGGTCAGCTGCTGGAGCGCCTGCAGAACCATACCCAGGACGATACGGTAGAACATGCGGGGGGCAGTGATGAACTCGTGCCACTTCTGGCTGACGTTCTCGGCCTCGAGCTGAGCCCGGATCTCATCCAGTTCGTTGATAATGACACGGTGGTTCTCGGGAACACCATAGAGCTTGGACATGGTGTTACGAGCCTCATCGATACGGCCGTGACGGTAGGCAAAGCGAGGAGATTCGGGGAAGAAGACCATACCAGCACCGAGGGCGAGAGCAAACACGAAGGTAATACCCAGGGTAATGCGCCACTGAGCGGTGCCCTCGAGGTTATGCGTTCCCAGGTTGATCAGGTAGGCCAGGAAGATACCCAGAGTGACAAACAGCTGGTAACAACTGATCATGGCACCACGGATGTGGCGGGGCGCACTCTCACCCTGGTACATGGGCACCAGGAGGGAGCAACCTCCGACACCCAGACCAGTGGTCCAACGGCCCATGACCATCTGGACCCAGTTGCCCGAGGGAGCCGTGATCTGCACAATGAGACCGATGATAAGGATGACACACCAGACGGTGATCGACCACTTGCGACCAATGCGGTTGGCGATAGGAGCAGCAACCAGGGCACCGATCAAGGTACCGATAGACAACAGACTAGTCAACAGACCGGAGCGGACATTGCTGAGATACCAGGTGCCATCCGCCTTCTGCATACCGTACCGGCGGAGGTAATCATCCTCCTGCTCGAAACCGGCGATCTGACCGGTATCATAACCGAAAAGAAGACCTCCCATGGAGACGAACATGGTCAGGACGAAGGAGCGCAGCGTGACACGAGGAACGGGGGTGTCCACGCCCATCTCCATCGGCTTGTCGTAGCCAAGCGTTTCTTGGCTGGATTGTTGCTGGGGAGCGACAGCAGGAGTGATGTGCTCCCCATGGCTGGCAGAGGATTCAACACCCATGGTGGAGAAGGGTGAAGACTGCGGGGATTGTTTTGATTTTGTCCAAGAGAGTAATGATCAGTGAGATCAAGCCCAAAGGAGCGGACGATAGAAAGATGTCGAACCCGTGAAGGAAGAGAAGGGTTGAACTTAATCACCCTTTTAGGAGATAAATGATTTGTTTGGGAGTAAGGAAGAAGGATGCAGATGCCTGATTCAGAAAGATCTCATTCTCCGGGGGGGAATGAGCAGCCTTTTATGCCTTTGCTCTGTACGAAAGAGGGAGGGGAAATTTTCCATCGGGGGAAAACAGATCCACGCCTGGGCAGAGAGCCGACATGTGGAGAGCCGACATCAGCAGCTGCCGGGGGGGAGGGGGAATGAGACCAGGGCTGACGACTTTCTCAATGGCCCTAGGTATACCGTAGAAGGCCGGCCGAAACCGACAGGCCAGTCAGAAGTGACGGAATACTGGGGAACGACCGAAGTACCAGGGGGAGTTGCAGTACTATCGGGTTCCACGGGCCTCTTTCGGGACAGTTAGAAGAGCAGGTGACGGATCTCGTTGGCTGACGGCATCGGCACACGGGGGTAAAATTATTCTCTATTAGACTACGTACTAACTAGAGATTGGAAGGGATTCGACGCCACCCGTCTGCATGGCACGGGAGGCGTGTGTCAAGAAGCCATCCATGGATTCCCCAGATCGATGACATCGGTTTCTGGTTTCTGGTTTCCACGAGGGAAGAAAGAGATGCTGCTGTCGTACAGAAATGGATTAGTCTGGTGCCATTTTCGATATCCGGGGAAAGACAGGTTTGGTTTACAGTGAGCTGATGATGACCGACAGGGGTGTGTGAGACTCGTGCATCAGCCAAGACAGCAGAGAAGAAGAGAAGAACGAAGAACAAGGAATTGGCAGGTTGAGACGGGCATCAGCGGCGCTCCAGAGGGGGAAAGCCTGGCGATGGATGAGCCGTGAACTGGCTGGCAAAAAGGCATTCTTGCCCAATGTGGAGATGCCCCACTACCACTATGCCTCTTCGGGGGTGCTCACCCACAACTCCAGAGTTCGGCAAGCAAATGACCGCGCGTGGCCCGGAAAGGGTCGGATATCCTGGAGTGACTGGAGTGACTGGAGTGACCATCGAATCTGGAGGGCCTGGAGGGCCTGGAGAAATTGAGGGGAGTGCGATACCATATCCGTTGACCGGTGAGTCTTCAATTCCATTATCCCAGGCACTTCCCCTTCCTGCACTGTGCTAAAAGGAGGGGAAAAAGAGGGGAAATGCGGAGGTTAAAACGTCAGTTATGACCACCTGCAAACCAGCGGAGAATTCACACATAAAACATGGGGAATTTGATGTGTTACTGCAGTGGTTGTATCTACCAGGTACACGAAGCTATTCCCGACAGCGTCGATTGCTTTCACGCCCCTTCAACCAAGGGGCCCTCGTCTACAATTCCCTACCGACATCTGGTACTGACATGCTCGCTAAGCCGACCGAGAGAAGGGTTTCGGCCCCGGTGGTCGGCATGACGAGAATCGCCATCACTGCGAGAACTGCTGCCAGCGTCCAGCTGACTGCCATCCCGACCGAGCCGAAACTGATTGGTGGCGTCAATGGACTCGACTGGTTGGCTCTGGAATCCTCCACCAAGCTTCGTGGCTGCCTTGGTGCGAACCTCGCCTAAACTCCTCTGGCCAGGGTTCGGATCCTCTGATCCTTCTCGCACAATGACGACAATGGCTTGCTCAGGCCGCCCATTGATTTATGACGCTATTCTCATGCACTGTCCACATGGTCTATTCGTCTCCGTCTACGTCTAAGTACTGCTGTGTAACTGAGAAGTAGCAGATAATCTTGTACCACGTTAAGGATCCCCCATCGCTTCCCCATGTGGGATAGAAGTTGAAGATGGTTCCTGACTATTGTTTGCCGGTTCCACTGATCATCTAGAGGCAATCCCCTGAGTCCCGAGTCCCTCTTGCAGAACCCCCTTCAGCCGGGTAAATTGTCATCCTCAAGTAGGGCAAGGGCTGCTGCGCGCTCACGTGCTCGCTTAGCCTGAAATTCCGGATGACGTAGGTATAGACCGCTTACTCACCAGTTGCCGTGGAACTTTCCTAGATAGGTGTCGGATCAAATCTAATCAAATTCAATCAAATTCTTGTTCGGCTTCTGGAAGCTGGACTCCCCATCAGACCGCCGACTGCCGGTAGCGATGAGTTCGAGATCATGGATCGAACATTGCTGTAAGAACCAAACCATTGAAGTTGAAGCCATTGCCACCAGGTTAAAGGCTGGAAATGGCACGGCCGGAAGCAGGCATCTTGCTTAGCCTCAAACCCAAGGTATACAAGGTTTGAGATAACTCGGCCGTACGATCGTACCATAACGGCCTGCTTCGGGATTGCCATAGGATATCATCCGGTCTGGAGAGTCACTCAACTTCATAAAAATCTTTTTGTTCACCATCGATCCTATTCGCCGATTGTTCATTAGCCCTCCGCACTGTACTCCTTACCCCATGCGAACTACGGGACACCATAGCACCCGAATGGCAGCCCCGGGAAAAGTCATTCCCCACATCGCGTCAGTCCGCTCAACGCCTCAGTAATCTTTTTCCGAGATCCGAAGGGCGCCCGGTCTCAAACCACGGCGCCAACGCTATGAACTTGCCGAACGCAGGCCCAGCACGATGAGATTTTTTTCTCTGAGGCCCGATCTGTCAAAGCAACGGTCTCCCGATCATCTGACAATCATAATTACCGATAGTGTTGGTCGGAGACACTACCGAAAGAGTGAACTATCTCCGAGTTCTTTGGTAGTGACGACACTTCGGCAGAGCCCGCACAGCCCACGTGAATCTAGGGAGTCAATTTGCTTAGATGGGCAAGAACCTTGATTTCTGACACAGTGACATGATTCTTGATGGGATTGCGGGTTTCTCTCAAGCCACACTGGGGGACCATGTGATTCTCCTCAGTGCGTCACCTACCACCTTGATACACTTGCTTCGGGTGTCTCCCGAATCCACTGGCTTTTTGACAGAAGCACGTGGAAATCTGGCAGTTTGGACTGAGAACTAGATCGAAGGTTCGAGGCCGTTATCTTCGGTGCACCCTACTTCCAGCTCGAAAGAAAGCGGGATTTCCGAGGTCACTGGCCAGGTGATCTCTTTCGTCTTACTGGTGGAAAGCCTACTACATGGCGTATTCAAATCTTGCAAAGATTCTCATGTGTCACGTGCACACTATACTCGTCCTTGAGAACTTCAATAAAGGGCCTTCATGTGTGTGCTTGTTAGTGAACTGGCAGGCGCTTCGAATTTCTTCCCGCGTTTTCGCTTGAGGACCAACTATCGCAGTTCTCGAGTAGGGCCTTTTTGATAGATACAAGCGGCGTTGAAGGTAGGTTGCACCTCGAATCGTCCAACCGCACGATTGTCGGATAGCTAAATGTCATATGTACCCATTGAAATCAAGCACACTGCGCATTCGTTGTCTTGTATGATTGAACTCTCCATTGCGATCTTCGTGAGTTATAGATATTTGTGAGACATGCTGGTCGCCCTGCAGACTGGCGCCTGATAAATTATTTAAGTATATATTTCTCCGCTGGCCGCGTCCTTCATGGGCAGAGGTGCAACGACGCAGTCTTAGGATGGAACTGCAACACCTGATCTTGATCTAACTACACACAAGACATGGATTTCACATATGATAGTCGGTTCTTCGAGATGGGGCAGTTGAGGCCGCTCTTCTCCACGAAGCATCACAAACTATACATAGAGCATCTAGATGAAAGCACTTGAAATTGATTTTGTCTACTGGCAGTCTCATGTGAGTACAGCACCAGACAGACCCACCCTCGCAGCATCATGCCCAAATACAGCCTAGCGCTAGCGGGTCGCTGCCCGCGCGTTCCGGGGTAAATAAGCTTAGAATTCTGTATAGTGTATACTCCCCAGACTCCAAGGGGAGATAGATATCTCTTCCATGTTGCGTGCAGTTTAGGAGTGAAGCCTTTTAGTCTCTCTGACTTTTTACGTTCATGTATCGGCAATGACTTTGTTTTACTCCGCAAATAGCCTGTCTTTTCCAATGCTAGCTGCCACCATTTTCATCGGCCTTGCTTGCAGCTCTCTGGCCAGAACATCTACTGCAAACCTCAATATGTCGACTACCACAATGGCTCAGCTAGGATGTGATGCAACGTGTCAGACTTACTTCCAAGCCGGATTGGCCGCCGATGTTGAGATGTTCGGTACGGGCTTCGATCCCGGCTTCTACAGCACCGCAAGCAACTTTACCGGTTCTGCTGCAGGTGATCTGCTGAAGTTCGAAGCCATCGAACCGAACACAGTCAACGTGATCACCGGAACGACCGCCTACCGCTTCCAATATACTACACGGGACTTTGAACGGCACCCGCGTCCCCGCCACCGGATTGATCGGGATTCCATATATTTCGTTCCGACCCAATGCAAATTTTCCCGTGGTCGCCTATGCATACTGCATCATTGGTGTCTTTGCCGGCTGTCCTCCCACCACCACCACCGCCGATCTCTACCACTACCACAGCTGGAGCCTCCTGATTGAGAACGGGTACGCGGTCGTCGCGCCGGACTACGCGGGTCTCGGAAATAATACCACCCTCCATCAGTACCTCTCGCTCCCTGCCCACGCCAACAACCTCTACTACGCCATGGTCGCCGCGCGCAAGGCTCTGCCCCACACCTTCATCTCGGAATGGATGAGCGTGGGTCACAGCCAGGGAGGCGGGGCCGTATGGAAGCTGTTGGAGAGTGAACTGGTCAAAACCTACGGCGCGGGAGAACCCCTGGGCACCGTGGCTCTAGCACCCGTCAGCAGGATCTACGATATGACAGTGCTCACGGCTGAAGCCGTTCTGACAGCCAGCAACTATGCGAGCTATGATATCACCTACGAAGCCCTCTGGCTGCCCCTCGCGCTCAAGCGCGTCACCCCTGGGATCGACCTCTCTATCGTCTCCAACACCTTCCTCCAGTGCGTCGACATCGCTGAGCTCGCGCAGGTATGCTACTATAGCATCATGCCGCTAGGGTACGGTCTGAGGCCGTCAGAAATAATTAGAAACACGAGCGCACTCGTGAACAATGTCCCTTTTCAAGCGGGGCAGGACGCAATGGCCCCTGCCAATGGAGGTACATTGGATACACCGATGCGCATCGTTCAGGGTTCAAACGACACCGATATCCTACCGCAGATTTCCGTCCGCTCGTTCAACGCGAGTTGTCTATCGGGCAATGAGGTTCACATGAGCGTCTATGCGGACATGGACCATACCGATGTCTTGAAGGCGAGTTCTCCTGAGTGGCTGGGGTTTATTCGGGATCGCTTCGAGCGGAAGTCGACTAGTGGCAGGTGTAGTGTCGTCCAGCATGCATCCCTTGACAGGGCTCATTTGGGGACTGAGGCGGAGTCAAGTGAAGACACTAGTCTCTGATGTGAATGAAGACCGAGTCGATGGTCTTGGCTGCTTTCATGAATAGGCACCAGCCTTGATCCAGACTGAAACTATACAACTTCATATTCGAAGCGGCTACTAGGCCAGGCCATGTCTTAAGTCTTGCTCTTGTATAGGTCTGTCGCTGCGCAAACGCGGGTAGCGTCTGGAACAAATGTCCACCCTGCCAAGATCGGTTTCAAGTCTGACATGGAAGACCCACTGCTACCCCTTGAAGCATATGATTGTTATACTTCGTTATGGTGTGATCTTGCTGTGAGAGTACTTTGTAGAAAGCATTTCCTGCACGGCATACGGCCCGACCGTCCAGGCAGATGACTCTGCCCCTCAACCCCGCAACCACTAAACAACTCAATCGTCTACCCCAGAACCCATGCATAACTGCATGTCCACGGTCAGTCTAGAATGTGGCTAAATCAAGCGATGACTTGTCGCGGCCGAAGTGGAACAGACCTTCCACCACTCACGTCATCTGAAACACCAGCCGATCCGCCATTCCCAAATCAGCACGGACAAAACGCCAGCAGAGCCGAATTGATTAACGGCCCTGACGATCACCGTCTCTCCGTTCTATAAGCGGATATACAGTGGGTTTCCTTCCCTATACGAAACAGACTCCCCTCGATCCTCAAGGAGCTTCTCATTTTCGAAACGGAGGATGGTCCGATTGCAAAGGTCCCGGATCAGGCTTCTATAAGAAGAGGCAGGTTGGCGCAGGAAGCATGAGATTCAGAGCCAGGCGACTCGACACCACCACACAACCAAGATGAAGCTTTCCCACATGCTCCTCAGCCTCGCTAGCCTGGCGCTGGCGACAGCTCTTCCCCGGACGCCGAACCACAACGCGGCCACCACCGCCTTCCCCAGCACCTCGGGGCTGCACTTCACGATTGACGGCAAGACGGGCTACTTCGCCGGCACCAACTCGTACTGGATCGGGTTCCTGACCAACAACGACGACGTGGACCTCGTCATGAGCCAGCTGGCGGCATCCGACCTCAAGATCCTGCGGGTCTGGGGATTCAACGACGTCAACACCAAGCCCACCGACGGGACGGTGTGGTACCAGCTGCACGCGAACGGCACCTCGACCATCAACACGGGCGCGGACGGGCTCCAGCGCCTCGACTACGTGGTGACCTCGGCCGAGAAGTACGGCGTCAAGCTGATCATCAACTTCGTCAACGAGTGGACCGACTACGGCGGCATGCAGGCCTACGTCACGGCCTACGGCGCCGCCGCCCAGACGGACTTCTACACCAACACCGCCATCCAGGCCGCCTACAAGAACTACATCAAGGCGGTCGTCTCGCGGTACAGCAGCTCCGCCGCCATCTTCGCCTGGGAGCTGGCCAACGAGCCCCGCTGCCAGGGCTGCGATACCTCGGTCCTGTACAACTGGATCTCGGACACGTCCAAGTATATCAAGTCGCTGGATTCCAAGCACCTGGTGACGATTGGCGATGGTAGGTTGACCCGGATCAGACCACTTCTCCCCATCAGAAGCTAAACAATCTTCATCAACACAGAGGGCTTCGGTCTTGACGTCGACTCGGACGGGAGCTACCCCTACACCTACGGCGAGGGATTGAACTTCACCAAGAACCTGGGCATCTCGACCATCGACTTCGGTACTCTGCATCTGTACCCCGATAGCTGTATGTTCTTCCCAAAATTCCGTATGACGTATCAGAAGTCAATGGAACTAACGTTGTTGGCAAGGGGGCACTTCCTACGACTGGGGCAACGGCTGGATCACGGCCCACGCGGCCGCCTGCAAGGCGGTGGGCAAGCCGTGCCTGCTGGAAGAGTACGGAGTGACCTCCAACCACTGCGCCGTCGAGAGCCCCTGGCAGCAGACGGCCGGAAACGCGACGGGCATCTCCGGCGATTTGTACTGGCAGTATGGCACCACGTTCAGCTGGGGCCAGTCCCCGAACGATGGGAACACCTTCTACTACAACACCAGCGACTTCACGTGCCTGGTGACGGATCATGTGGCGGCCATCAATGCGCAGTCGAAGTAGACTGTTGGCATGGTGGAAGGAACAAGTAGCCTTAGTATAGGATTAGCCAATTATTGCGGTGGAGAGAACAAATAAAATGGTGGTCATCATCTTTTGTGGGTGCCTGGAGGTGCCTGGAGGTGCCTTGGGGTATCGTAGTTTATTTATAGGGCGGGAAGTGCCAAGGCCGAACCGCCACAACAGCTCCGCCTCGTTTCTCAAGGCTACACCCATCATCACTTTCTGTATAACATAACTCTGGATTATGTGTCCTCTCTGCAACAACCACGCTTAATATGCTACCTATACCTATACCCTCCGCAATACTCAGATAATCTCTCGTCTGTGTCTACTCTTCCAGAAAATGGGCCACCCGACCGCTCCACCCCCGTCGTACGAAGAAACCATCGCCGCTGGTCCAGTCACCCCTCAACCACCGCAACCTTCGACGACTTGTCCAACCAACCCTGCTCCCCCTCCTCCTATCGCCAGACCCAGCTCCGCTCGAACCACCTCCGATGCCGGGGACAACCGCAGCGTCATGCTGGACCCCATCCTCAGCGAAGACCCGTCCGCCCTCCATGCGTTGATCGTGCGCCAAGCCCGGACCCCTCCGCGACCGTATCTGACCGTCCGCGGCTCCCACACCGAGACCCGCGAGGACTCCAACGATACCACCGACAGCAACAACACCAACAACAACAACAAGAGCACGCGGAACGAGACGGTCGTCGACTTCGACTTCAAGATCGATCTCTACAAGTACATGGTCCGCGACTACGACGTGGTGCCCGATTACGAGGACGGGGTCGACGCGGCTCCAAACGAGGAAGAGGATCGCGACGGCTGGCGGGTGTGCAGTGTGGTCCGCGATGGGGACGGGCAGGAGGCGTATCGCGGCGGTCGCTCCCGGTCGGACACCTGGGCCGGTCACACCCGTCGATCTGGCGGAGGGCATGTGGAGGATGCGTCGGAGGGGGAGATTGTGGGTCTGGTTGGCGAAGAAGGCGAGGAACCTGGGTTGATGGGCTGGTGTGACCGGTTCTGCCTGGATCCCGGGCCGGTCAAGTCGTATGTTTCCCTCCTTCCCCCCCAACAGGGTGGTTGAGCCTCGTACTAAGATGAGTGTTAAGGTTTCGCTTCACGAGGAGCATTGTCGGCTTCGACGTCGCCACCCTCCGCTCCCTCCTTATCTCCCACCTCCGCAACCTCAACTATCACGGCAATATCGATATCTCCATCACCCTCGCCAATAAGAAGCTGACGATCTACTCGCCGCACTGGATCAACGAGCTGCGCAACAACTCCTTCGCCTACTGGTTCTGCATCATCCTGCAGCTCTGGATCATCACCTGGCCGGTCATTTGGTTCCTCGAGCATCGCTACGACGTCGTCCGCGCCGTGTGGTACTTCTCCCGCGTCCGGGGGTCGCAGACGGTCTATGCGTGTCATCGGGATGAGGCTGCCATCGCGAAGGAGCTGGCGCCCATAGTCACGCAGGCGGCGTGGGAGCGACGGAGGAATGGGAAAATGCTGACTGCAAACGAGATGGAGCTGCTACGCCAGTTGGGGACGGAAGGGAGCCAACGTCGCGTGGTTATGGTGTCTTGGGATCACATTGGTGGGTGGGGGAGAGATTCCTAACCATAACGAGCATGATTGCCTTTTGTCGACGATACCCTATTTGGTACTTTTGGTTTTTGTGCGTCGTTCGGAGCAGTGATACAATTTAAGACTAATGACTATTGATGAATTGATGTCTGCTTGTTGTGGTTCTTGGTTTCTCTGAGCGATCGCCTACAATCATCCACTGTGCATTGGCCGAGTTTCTCAGACTCCCAACTGATCTGATCTAACCGAGGTTCGCGATTTGCCGTTGTTGACTCCAAGCGAGCCCGCCAAGAAGTATGTCATCTCGCTTAACGTTGGATCTCGTGAGCGTTCTCAAGTCAAGACTTTCCAGAATGCCAGATATGTTACCCGGCCCGGTCGTCGGACCGGTCAAGTGGCTTTTTAAAAGGCCAGCCACTGGATCAGGGGTACCTGGACCCTGGAGGGGAGTGCTAGGAACAGATAAGATGCGCAACAACATGTTAGACCGGACTGGCGGGTTGGCAGGCCACCAGGGGACGTGGATTGGGCAGCGCCAGCCATGCGACGGAGGGATTCAGCCTTCCAGAAGCCCGCCTTGGAAATTGCCTGCTTTGACGGGACTCACGGTTATGAGAAGTACCTAAGAAGATAAGCGACGCTGAAGTAGGTTAGTGTGATGACTGTGGCGCACCTCTCACAAGCCAACACAGTGACCGATTGGGCTTCCCCGCATCTTCTTATCGGCTCGTCTCACACACCCTCTCTCTGTGTTACATCCGTCCTGATTGCGGGGATTCATCTTACTCGTCACAATCTCGCAAATTCACTGTCGCCAAGGTTGACCAACGGCTCAGTTCATGGGCTGGAGAAAACTTACGATCTCACGCTTATAATCGGTGAGGTCGCACGACGTGAGTACTCCGTCACTCGAAATGCGCGTCTACCGGATTTCCCCCGGTTGCCTTTACAACTAACCATCTCACCCCTGATCTCTCTCTTTTCACATCCAACGTGTCCGCCATCATCATGGCCACCCATGAAAAGTCATCGGGGGTTACCCCCTCGCGCCCTGACCCAGAAGTTGCGACCATGGATGTTAAGCCCGGGACGATGATCGAGCGAGAGCTGTTCGATGAGCGCTACAAGCCCACCCAGCGTGGCCTCAAGAGTCGCCATGTCCAGCTGATGGCGCTAGGTCTGTTATGCTGCCATGACCACAGTACTGCATCATCGAGCTGACCTTCCATGTCTTGTAGGAGGCACAATCGGCACCGGTCTCTTCGTCGGTTCAGGTCAAGCGCTACACATCGGAGGCCCCCTGTCGCTGTTGCTAGGATACATCTTCATCTCGGGGCTCGTCTACGCGCTCGTCACCGGCCTCGGTGAGGTCGGGGCCTATCTCCCGACCCACGGCGCAACCATGGCCCACCACTCCGTCCGCTACGTGTCACGCAGTCTGGGCTTCGCCATGGGCTATCTATACTGGTACAGTCTGGGGATCCTGGTACCCTACGAGATCGTCGCCGCATCGATGGTCATCGACTACTGGCACCCGGACGTCAACCTCGCCGTCTGGATTACGATCATGCTGGTGGTGATAGTCCTCTTGAACTTCCTGCCCGTGCGCTTCTACGGGGAGACGGAATTCTGGTTCGCGGGCATCAAGATCATCACGCTGGTCGGCCTCCTGCTGCTGGCCTTCATCCTCTTCTGGGGCGGCGGGCCCAACCGCCAGCGCCTGGGGTTCCACTACTGGAAGGACCCCGGCGCGATGAACACCTACCTCGTGCACGGGGACGCCGGCCGCTTCGTCGGCCTGCTGCAGTGCGTCGTCAAGTCGGCGATCGCGTTCATCTTCGCGCCGGAACTCATCGTCATCAGCGGCGGCGAGATGGAGTCCCCGCGGCGCAACCTCCCCAAGGCCGCGCGCCGCTACATCTACCGCCTGGTGATCTTCTACATCCTCGGCGCGCTCGCCATCGGGGTGATCTGCTCGTCCAACGCCCCGCAGCTGATCAACGGCACCGGCACCGACGCCAGCTCGTCCCCCTGGGTGGTCGCGATCTCCAACGCCGGCATCCCCGTGCTGGACAGCATCGTCAACGCCGCGATCCTGACGTCGGCCTGGTCCGCCGGCAACTCGTTCCTGTACATGTCCTCGCGCTCGCTGTACTCGCTCGCCGTCGCCGGCAACGCCCCGACCATCTTCAAGACCTGCAACCGCTGGGGCGTCCCCTACCTCGCGGTCAGCGTCTCCGCCCTCTTCGCCCTGCTCGCCTACATGGCCGTCGGCAGCGGCAGCTACACCGTCTTCAACTGGCTCATCAACTTCACCAACACCTCCGGCTTCATCTCCTGGATCTGCTGCAGCATCGTCTACTTCCGGTTCGACGCCGCCGTCAAGGCCCAGGGCGTCGAGAAGCCCTACGCCTCGCGCCTGCAACCCTACGGCATGTGGGTCGGCCTCGTCGGCTCGGTGTTCCTGGCCCTCATCAACGGCTTCACCTGCTTCTTTCCGTCCGAGTGGTCCGCCAGCAACTTCTTCACCGCGTATATCGGCATCCCTGCGTTCGTGTTGTTGTACTTCGGCCATCGTGTCGTCTTCCGTCGCGATCCGTGGGCCTGGAAACCCACTGAAGTGGATCTGGTGTCTGGGCTGCAGGAGATTCTGGAGGCGGAGCGTCCGCCTCGGCCGAGGGAGACGTGGGCGCAGAAGTTACGGGTGTTGATTGAGTGATTCTTTCGGGGG